TAACAAAATATGGAAAACAATTGTTTTATTATTATTTAAATTACAGTCCTTTTTTCAAAAAATCTTGATGTGCCATGCCGGAGGGTTATCACCTATTTAAAATAATCAGGTTAAAAAATTGTGATGTTATGTTCAAACGTAATTTTTTTCCTCAGTTATGTTATTCTGAGAGGAAAACTCAAAATATTTTGTTAGACCAGTTTCCATCCTTTTTAGGCAAAATTTTGATAAAAAAAAAAAAACTTGTTTTTTGCGAATGTTATGGTAAATTTTTCCTTTTTATGGTGACAGACACTTTTAATTTAGACCAGTTTGCAAAAAATCAAATAATTGTATAGATTTTAATGAAATTTTAGGGCTTTTGAGAAAATGGAAATTATTCTTTAATTTTTTATTTGAAGAATGGATGTTTTTTTTTTTTTGAATTGCAGAACCGAGCTGTCAAACCATTACTCCATCAAATCGTCTTTACATAAAGACATTATAGTCAGGGCCTCTTTCTCCATCCCGGACGACAAACCTTTTGCCCTTCTGGCAAAGCCCTCGTCCTTGTGGTGTTTATATTCTGTTTATTTGTTATTTTATAGATACCAGTGAGTTTGACAGTTGAACAGGCTGAATGTGAGACACCGCTGCCCCGAGGCTTATCCATACTACTTTATAGTAAGTGGAAGAGCTATACCATTTAGCTACACAGAGGGAAGACATCACAACAAGGGGAGAATAGTGTTCAAACCTTTCCTAAGGGTATTAGCATGCAAGTAAATGTAATCGATTTGACTCTAATTCCACTAGAGTATTTTGCTGACTGTAAATAGTAAATTTTAAATCCTTTAGCTATTTTGATCGAATTTAAGCTGTTTTCATTTTTAAAATTTTTGCTTTAAAGCGTTACGTGTATCCTGAATTATTTGTTGGTTAGGTACCTGGAATATATATATATATATATATATATATATATATATATATATATATATATATAATATATGACCTCACGTATTTGAGGATACCGGTCTACTAGCCAATCTCACTTTGGCTGTGGTTTATAATGCAAATATGTTGAGCAGATCTTAGTTACAGTCTCTGGGAGAGAGCTCGTTATCTAGCATGAGCAACAATCTGAATAACGCCAGCACACTCAAACCCTCGCTCACGATGACTTGTGACTTCGTGCTAGCACAGCTATCGACGGCCTGCAAGTGTTCCGTCTACACAATTTCACCCACATGGCTTGGGTTAACCCGTGGTATGGTTTTCAGGCACTTTCAAAAAGTGCCACACGCAGGGATCTTTCCCCTCCCAGACCAATAAGATCAGGAAGTCTTCTTCTTGGCAAATCGCCCGGGTCTCATGGTCAGAAAGCGAACGTTCTAACCACTCGGGCACGCGCCCATCACACACACACGTGTGTGTGTATGCATATATATATATATATATATATATATATACAGAGATAGATAGATAGATAGATAGATAGATAGATAGATAGATTGAAACAAAGACCTGATAACACAGAACAGGGATATTGATTTAAGTAAACATTTTATATTCATTTTTTTTTATTTTTTAAATATCCGGACCTAGGCTGCCTTTTGCCCAACGCATCATCAGGGACCAATCGTTGGCAAATTTTAACTCATTTGAATTGATAAGAGATAATACTGGAACACGCTTAAAATTACAAAATACGTAAAATTAAGAAAAAAAAACAAATAAATTTACGATTAAAATACGTTAATAAAGAAAAAAAAATTTGATTCATTCGATTATAAAAAGACAAAAATAAAGCTCACGTATATCCGAATAAATTCAATGATCTTAAAAAAAAATCTCCTTCTGCTTGCATAGTACAGGCCCGAATAATTTATACATAAAGCTTCCAAAATTAATAAATGATATAATTATATATATATATATATATATATATATATATATATATATATATATATATAAATGCATGTGTGTGTGCCCGTGTGTGTGTGTGTGTGTGTGTATTTTAAGATGAAATACCATCGAAGAAAAGAGTGCTGAGCTGCTACGTGACATCTGTTCTCCTATACGGCAGCGAATGTTGGGCAGTATCCTCAAAGGTGAAGAAGGCGGCGGAGATATGGTTCTACAGAATGATGCTAAAGACACCATGGACCGAACATGTGAGCAACGATGAGGTCTTGGTGAGGATGCAAACAAGGAGGAAGCTTATACTTAACATCAGGAAGAAGCAGCTGAAATTTCCGTGACCCTTAATGAGAAAGGAGGTTCCTGGAGAATTGCATTACTAGCGGGCTTAATCAAGTAGATTACACGAGGTATGCTTTTACAGAAGGATGCTAAGGATACCATCAACCAAATATGTGAGCAACAATGAGCTTTTGGATAGGATGGAAACAAGGAGTAAGCTTATACTTAACATCAGAAAGAAGCAGCTGAAATTTCCGGGTCACGTAATGAGAATGGAGGGCTTGGAGAATCTGACACTCACAGGTCGAACAGAGGGAAGAAGAGACAAGGTAAAGCAACGTATGGCATACCTGGCGAGCTTAAGCAAGTGGATGACAGGACGTTGTCTGTGGGAGTTGACATAGGTATGAAACTTATGGAGAGGCTCAAGGGATAGTTGGAAGTAGAGGGCCATGATCGGCTACGTTCTGAAGTCACACGGCACATAAAAAAGGAAAGAATTCTTTTATATGTTACAGATCGACATTGAATCACATGAAATCGTTGTGTTCATCTTCATCATCACCAATCCCATGTTCGCCTGCAGTAGTCCAGTCTCTGCGACAGATGACCACCTGAGCAGTTCCTTGCACAAATCTGGACTGAAAGCCGGACAGCTAATCATTCATAGCAGTGGGTTACAGCAGCACTCGGAAAGTGACCTGGGATAAGTTATCCTTTCTGCTCTCTCAGTTTACTGATCTCCACTTATTGATATTCAATGTTGTTAGCGCTTTCACTATCCTCTTTTCTCTCTTTTCATTCAGCACATACCCTCTTAACACTTTTCTAAATCTCTCTCTCTCTGTTTTCTCATTCTCTCTTTCTCACTCACCCACTCCCTCAGTAATTCTCCTTTACTATATTCTCGTCCTAATAAGAATCAACGTATAAAAATTGCTTCAAGAGAATGAACCCTGTAAACATCAGTTTAAGACTTCCAACACCGGCAACAACTAAAATGTATAGCTCATGTAACTAGAATGGAAAATGATACTATAATCAAGTGTGACACTATTTAGGGTTGCGTGAAAAAAAAAAAGGCCGAGAATTAAATTAGGTGATAATAATCTATCACGAAAAGACGATGTTATTTTTTTTCTAACAAAGAAAAATGTTAAAGAATTTATTTTCATGAGCGAAGCAAGTAAGTTCGTGGATCTGTCGAATTTGATTTGATTTATGTTACGACAGAGCGAATACAAGATAGAAATCTGCCCATGGCAATGGTGAAAATTTCAGGTCGGTCAGGTGGCCTACAGGGCAGAATTCTAAGAGATAAAAATTAATTAGGTCGCGGGAAAAATGTCCGCTGGACCACCCGCAGAGTACCAGGAAGGAAAGATTAAACCCTTAACTATTTGCGGAGGTATCATTTGAGAAAAAGCATCTGTGTTGTGTCGGAGCAGGCTATGATAGGAAAATTATTTTATCGAAACAGTTAATTAGCGACAGAATGCAAATACGCCCAGTTAAACCGCCCACTTGATGCTGGCAAGAAGTCTCGATTGATGAACTCCAGATGGGATTCGGTTAAGATAAGAGTCTAAGAATTTGTTGTCGAGAAGAAGAAAAAGAAAGAAAAGAAAAAGAAAAAAAAGGGAGATATTTTTTTTCTTCTTTGAGCAAGATTTTTAAACCGAGGATAGTCTAGCCACACCCACACTGCTGGGCGTCCATTGGCTGAATGGTGGCGTGAGCGGCAGGCGAAGGCAGTCACGTGAAGAAGGAGGGGAAGCCTGTTGACGCCACCTGAAAGGGATCGGTATGAGATGCCACTGTGAGAGAGAGGGGAAACCCGCTGACGCCCCTGAAGGGATTGGTATGAGATACCCATATGAGAAAAGAAGAATGGGGGAGGGCGATTCCCTACCCTAGAAAGTAAAGACTTCTAAAAATGGAAATTAATAAATCTTCCTGACCGAAAACAAAGAAAACCCTTAATGCGGATTTAGAATTATCAAGGAACCTCAAACCCCGACAGGCCCACCACGGCCTTGGTCGGCGTCCATATAAGCAGAGTCGCAACGAGTAAGTTCGCAGTTCGCAGCTGAGTTGAATTGAGTTGGGTTGGTGTTGCAGAGTGAGACCGCCATGCAGAAAGCTGACTAAGATTCACGCAATTCCGAACTCAACTTCTAACCAAGAACAAATTATTTTTGAAGAACGACTTAGACTCACACCACCAAAACAAGTTTTGCGAATATCGCCTGAAGATACACCAAGAACCAGTTTCTTAAAGAACAAACAACTTCAGATGTTAAGACTCGCCTAACAAACACAAAGTGTCACGAATCCATATAGCGGTTTGGGAGAAAGAAGCAGTCCTGTATTTCGCAACCAGATATAAAATATTGTTGTCCTTTTTTAACACATTTGAACTTTTCGAGTTATTACTTTATTTTCTTTTACATATACTTGTGTGGTATTACCCTTGTTCGGACTCGACTTGCATTACGGCCCGGCGACTGATTGATTTCGTCTACCTAAGATCAAATCACAACGTGGGTAGGTTAGACTAGAAATCAAAACAGTTACTTCAGTAACCAGACGTTGGAGGAGAGCTGGGAACGACAAAGCTGATACCGAATCTAACCAGAATCCGAATCAGCAAAGTGTTAAAACGTCACGTTTGGTGCCGCGACCAATACCAAGTCACATTGGTCGTCGCCGGGCAGGATAGGACGGCGACGGCGCGGAGACAGACGGGGTGACGACACAACTGGCGCCGCGACTAGGACAGCACGGCGGACGCGGCCAGGCACACGTCACATTTGGCG